TAATGCTTTTTTGAACTTCTTTTTATATTGAAAGTATTTTTCTTGCTTTTTTTTATCTTTTTTTCAAATACTATCATTAATATATCTTGTAAAATTTCTAAATACAGTCAAACCTCTCTATAGTCACCTTCTTTATAATTATATTTGCTTATAATTATATAAATTTTTTAAAACCAACTTATATAAAACTTATAAAATTTAATCTTTATATAAGCACAAACTCTCTATAAGTACCAAATTCTTTAAACCAAAAGTGTAATTATTGAGAGGTTTGACTGTAATAATTTTCTATAATAGGATTCTCTATAAAAAATATCATTTCTATAATAGTTATATTATTTATTCTCTATAAGTTATTTCTTTGAAATATTGCTAAGGGTTTGTTATTTTTAAAATTTACATAAAAGATAACAGTTATTAACATATTTTGAACAAGAACATATCCAATTATCTATATTTATATAATATTTTTTATCTATATTAAGTATAATATCTGTAAATATAGCTTTGTTTCAATTATTTTTAAAGACTTGCTATTATAATAGAAAACTTTAACTTATATTATACTGAGTTAGTTTGAAATCAAAGTTTGATATTAGTTATTCAACAAGAATGTTTGTAAGACAGTCAAGCTGAAACCTATTATAGCTGTACTTATAGTTGTATTTAAGTACTTTTCGATTGCTTTCTATAATTATGATAGTTTGAACTAAAAGCATCACTAGTAAATAAGCAGAACAGACAAATATTTTTTAATTTTGTTGTTATATCAGTTGATCTAAAGGTATTCTTACAATCCACAAATCTTGTAATTATTACAAAAAAAGTAAATCTCTTTTACACAATAGTAATAAATATAAGCTAAATTCCAAAAATTATTTTTCTTTACTGAAATTAATAGTTGTATAATTATATAATATTTAATTATCTTACAATTTCTTTTGCCTCTTCTTCTAAATATAAGCTTCTAATGAAGCTAGTTGAAATTCATATCAGTATCTATAAAATTAAATTGTTAATAAACCTTTGATACTTTTTCTTTTAAGAGATAAATATTATTTCATCAACAATTACTTTGTTAAACATCCTATCATACAGAGTAATGGTTAATTTTTAACAATTGTTTGATGATTAATAATTATTGTTCAATATTACTCATTATGCTATGTAATAAAGTGTTCAGTAAAATAACTGTTAATGAAATAATATGTGTCCTTTTTTAAATAGATATTTAATTATAGTTTTTTATCTTTTAGATATTTACTAATAATATTTTTTAAATAATAATAACATAACTAAAGATTTGTATATGACTAAATTTTACTAATAGTTGAAATTTTACTAATGTTTTTGTTCAATAAGACAAATAAAGATAGCAACTCTTCCTAATGAAGACTTATAAAGAAACTAAAAAGAACTTGTATATAAATTATAATTTTGTTATTTAAATAAGAAATTGCTATATTTAGATTATTTTATTTTTATTTTTTTTATATTAAGGTAAATACTTGTGATTCAGGATTTTGATAGTATATTTGGCTAATAATTGCATTACAACTACAAGGAGCAACCATAGAGAGAATATACAACTAGCTACTTATACAACTTTAGTTATTGTCTAATTTAAGTAGTCTACTTGAAGGTTCTATACTAGCTGCTATACCTGAAACTTACTTGTAGGTTCTCTATTTAACTATTCTGTTTCTGTATTCACTTACCTATCTCTGCCTACCAATGATCTTAGCTAATGCCAATGAAAATATATTATGGTCACTAAGTCTTTAAAGCAGTTCACTCATATAAGAAACCTTTAACCTTGTACTAAACTTTCCAGAATCTTCTGTATCCTATTCTTACAGCTGACCTGGTATTACTATGGCCAAGACCAATACTGGCAGTTAGGACATACCATTAAACTGCTATGTTCTTGTAAAGTTTATCCTAACCTCGATACTAACTTCACAATATATCCTTACTATTTTGGTATTCAATTCAAGTTCCACTAAGCTGCCATTTCAGATAGTTTAAAAAGGTAGAGTAAGACCATACCTCTAGTTTACATGTTTGTTGACATGTACTATTTTCTTCCAAAACTCAGAAATTCTAGCAGTCTGGTTGGTTCATCTGGTTCCTTCTCAAAGACTAGTACATTTGCCTAATTTTACAAGTTCTAGCTCCATTTTATAAGTCTAGTTTTTACAGTAACACTGTTGAAGATTTGGGTTATCTCTCTATTCAGGTTTTCCAAGTAGGCTTCTGTCTTTCTATCTAGTTCCTGTGATTTACATGGCCTAAGAACTTATCTTGAGTTTACACTGCCCAGTACTGGTTTGTGTTTCCTTATATAATGTTGTACAAATATTTAGACCTTCCAGTTATACTGGTATAATATAAATTACAGGTATCTTATTCCAACTAATTACAAAAGACAGTTAGCCATAATACAGAAAAAATTACAAATTTTTACTGTCACTGAGATTTGAACTCTAGACCTGCCACTTGGAGGTTGACAATCTATTCACTTTACTAGATTACCACACCTCTATTCAGATTATTAGATGTTAGTAAGTATAAGTATACTAATAGCATATTATATCTATCATAGTTAAAGTTTATAACAAAAAGTTTAAATTATTTCTGATTTGTTTTAAAGTTAAATCTATTACAATTTTATTTAAATTTGTATATCAATTTGATTAAACAATAAAGTAATGAATTTCAAAGCTTATACAAAATTATTATCAAAATAAAAGAAAATTTTAAATCTTCTAACTATAAGTTTAGACTGTTCAAAGTATGTCTTAAAAGACAAAAGCTAATTATCTTGGTTTGTGAGATATGTTTGTCTGCTATAAACTAATATCCAATAATATATCTGTTCTTTTGTATATATTAAAAGAATCAGGCTATTTTTAATAAAATAGCAATATAATTCTGAATTTTGTAAGTAATAACAGTAGTTTTCTTATATTCATATTTTAGTTTTTTTAATAAATTCTATTTGCCAATATAATAGGCATTCATATGAGCACAAATCTTTATATTATATACTTGTATATTGTAGTTAAGTGTTTATATTGATTGTAATTTTATATCTATAGAAAATCATTATATTGAAATATAAACTTTACATAATTTTTTGATCTTCTGGTTATTTGTTTTTTGATCTTAGTCCTTTCATAATGCACACTTAAGATATATCATAGCACATCTTGTAAATTTTTTTTTTTATAATTTAAAAATAATTTTTCTATTTTTTAGTAATATTCAGATTCAGATTTTAATAGTAAAATAAGAAATTTTGAAAGTTGTGCAAAGCTGTTTTTGATTTTCTTTAATTTTAATAAGCTAGTCTTAAGATTTTAATCAATTTTAACTATATTTAAAAGATTAGATCTAATTCAATTTCTAATACAAACTTAGTAAATTCTTCAAATAATTCTGTATTTTGAAACTGTATTATCTATCTTATTAATATAATATAAAACCATATTTGTGATATTATTATTATTATTATTATTTTCTTCTATTTTGATTATATTTGTAGAGTTATTATTAAAGAAGAGACTGGTTTCTAATATTTGTTCAAGATTATCATAGTCTTCAAGATGTTGTTAATTTGAAGAAAATTAGAAGTTTCAGAAATTGAAGTATTAATAATTGAAATTATTGTATTAAGACTAGTATTTGTTTTTGTTTTCTTTTTATAATTTGCTTCTTGTCTTTTTTTAATATATCTTTTAGATCAAAAATTACAGGTTATATGCTTATGATGTGAATTTTTACCTTGTAGTCTGCAAAAATTTTATCTTTTCTTTGACAAATAATAACAATTACATGTCTTATTTTCAGAGATTTGAGTAGATAAACTGCTTTTATTTATTTTTGCTTAGTATATTAGATATTTTGTATTTGATAAAATTAACTATATAATCAAAGAGATAATTTTAATATAATTATTAGGAATTATTCATGATGAATATAAGTAATAAATTAAATATATAATTAAAAAGATAATTTTAATATAATTATTAAGTTTTATTTGTAATAAATATAAATAATAAATTAAATATAATAAGTAATGATTTTTGAGTTATTTGATAAAATATTTTTAAATTTTGAAATCTTTATTTAAGATTGAAAAAAGTAATTTAAATACATTTTTTCAACTATTTAAATTCTATTTTGCCATGATTAAATTGTTTTTTTCTTGTAATCTATTCACAATTCCTCATATTATTTTCTATATTATGTCTTTTATTAAAAATATCACAACTTTAATTACATGATTATGTTCTTTGCAACAATTTAATAGCAATTGTATTCTTTATGTAGACCTGATAAACTTTGAATATATATATTCTAAATAGAAAATAAAAATATATTTATAATACAATTTCTTACATTATTTTCTATATTATATCTATTATGACTTTAATTCTATGATTATGCTCTACACAACAATTCAATAACAATTATATTCTTTACATAAACCTGATAGGCTTTGAATACATATATCCTAAATAAGAGAATAAAAATATTTATATATACAACTAAATTCAGATAGACTTAGATATATAGTATTATATAAAACTATATCAATAAAATAATTTTCTTTTTTCAAAATAATCATTTAACTACTTTTATATTTAAAATTTGGCTTTTGCAAATATTTATCCAAATTCATCCTTCAGTTAGTTATTAATTAATTATGACTAATGAAAAACTACTAATTATGTAATGTTATTATGCACATTGATAATTTGCTTTTATTGTTTTAAATCATTATTAGATATGTTAAAACAAATAAAACCTACCTTAAATGAACCAACAAATCAAGACTGCATAGAACATTTAAAATTAAAAATTATATACTTAATTAAAATTCCAAGTTATCTTATATAATTTTATTAAAATTTTTTTTTAAATATTTATATTACATTTATTTTAAATAAATAATTAATAATATGAAAAATATAAAATAGAAAAATCGAATTATCTCAATAACTATCTGACCAATTATCATAAAATTTTACATTCAAAGAGCTGAACACAATACTTACCAACTTGCTTAAGACCACAAACCATGTTTCCTTTCACTAATGTTCTTTCAAAAACAAATTTCTATCTAAGAACTACACGAAAAATTCAATTCTAGAAAGAAAATAGAGAAATCAGATTATCTCAACAACCATCCAACCAATTATCATGAAATTTTATGTCCAAAAGGTTGAACACAATACCTATCAACTTGCTTAAGATCACAAAACATGTTTAATTTCACTAATATACTTCTGGAAACAATTTTCTATCCAAGAACAACAAAAAATCTGATCCTAAAAAAAAAAATAGAAAAATTGAATTATCCTAAAACCATCCAACTAACTATCATAAAATTTTATACCCAAAGAGCTGAAAACAATGCCTACAAACTTGCTTAAGACCACAAACCATGTTTCATTTCATTAATACCCTTCCAGAAACGAAGTTCTATCTAAGGACAGCAAAAAACTCGATCCTAAAAAGAAAATAGAAAAATTGGATTATCTCAACAACCATCCAACCAATTATCATGAAATATTATACCCAAAGAACCGAAAAAAATACCTACAAACTTGCTTAAGACCACAAATCATGTTTCATTTCAAGAAAGTTCTCAAAAATCTGACTGGAAGTGCATTATCCAAAAAAAAAGAACCATTAGTTAGTATAACAAATTCTATAAAGTAAATGCATAATTACAAATATAATACAATAAAAATAAGTCCAATAACTCTAAATATCTATATATAATCAAGAAGATATATTTCATTAAAAAAAAAATAAGTACTAAAAGAAAATGTTTTTTTTTTTTTGTTGACTAATGTGTTTTTTTTTTTACTTCAATCAATAATATCTCGACAACTACCCAATCGAATACAATGAATTTTATTTTTATTTTTTAATTCTAAATACCTAGAATGAAAAATAAAAAAAAATTATCGAATTTAACTAAATAGCAAGTGAGTTATCTTCGCTTAAATTTTTAAAAAAGTTTAAAAACATCGATATCTGTAAATTTTTAATTTATGCCATGATTGGTTGGATTGTGCAGATCATCACATGGTTCGAGTAGAATCTCCACATGACCGTCACTTTTTTTCTGCGCAGCTTGGGTACTACTTAATCTTTAACCATGCAATCAGACGCGTTTTATGCACCTGTTATATATACCAGATACATACTTTAAGATCGTGAAAGCCATGGCAATTGCTTTAAAAACACTACTCGAAAGAGCTATTTCGGATGAACATATCAACTATCTTGAATTTAATAAGTTTACCGGTCGTACAGTGATTGGTACTGGGAGTCTTGGAATGGTTTTCAAATGTAAATGGAAGGATTGTGAATTAACAGTCACGCTTAAATGTATCAGAGTCGACACAGGTTCAGACAAAAAAACTGTTCAAGAAATTATTAATGAGGTATTATTCTTGCATTAAATTAAAATAAATTTAAAGCATTATCTATTATATTTCATTAAATTATTTATATTTATATTATTTACGTATACAAGCTTAAATTATTACGAAGAGTTAGTAATCATCAAAATATTATCGCGTTTTATGGAATAACTAAAGGTATACACGATTTATAATCTCTGAATGAAAATAATAATTATAATGAAAATATAATATTTATTTTAAATTATAGACCATGAAGGATATTATAATATAGTTTTACAATATGCTGATGAAGGAAATTTACGAGAATATCTGAAAATAAATTTTAGGAGATTGCGGTGGATAGATAAATTACGTATTGCTAAAAAAATAGCACATGGTCTTTTGTTTTTACATGATAATAATATTATTCATAAGAGTCTTGTAAGCATACTATATATTTTTTTTTTCATTTTTATAAACTTTAATCCACTAACATTTTGGTAATTTAGCATTCGAAGAATATTTTAATTTATCAAAAACAACCAAAGATTGCAGATTTTGGACTGTCAATGGTTTCAGATATGATGAATCATGAAACGTTGGCTTATGTAGAACCGCAGTGCTTCACTATCCCCGAATATAAACTTGATAAAAAATCTGATGTCTATAGTTTTGGAGTAATTCTCTGGGAAATTTCTAGTGGAAGACCACCATTTCAATCTCTTGAAACAAAAAAATCGCTTGCTCATTATATATTCATAGGAAATAGAGAAGAGCCTATGGAAGACACGCCACTTCAATATATCGAGCTTTACAAGCAGTGTTGGGACAAACAACCTTTTAATCGTCCAGAGACAATATTACTTCTCAAAACCTTAAGTCGACTAACTGCTGGCGAAATTTTAAACCCTACCTCTAATGAACTATTTGAAATCACAGCATCGTCATCAACTGATTCGCTTGATACCATTAGTTCAGTATACTCACATGAAATCACAGCGGCCACAACATCACCGCCTGACACAGCCAACCTAGTATACTCACATGAAACCACAGCAGCCACAACATCTCCGCCTGATACAGCAAACTTAGTATACTCACATGAAATAACGGCAGTCACAACGTTACCTCCTGACAATATTAGGCTTGAGTACATGAGAAGGGAAGCGCGTGAATATTTCGATGAAGGCAGATATTCCGAAGCATTAGAACTTTATAAAGAAATTCTCAAGGACAGCCAGCATAACGAAAAAGATCGGCAAAACGCTTCAAATTGGAATCTTTCGAAAAAACGGTTAAAAAATATAAATGAGTTAATAAAGGCACTTTACAAGAATACCACTCTAACTTTTTTAAATCTTAATAACAATAAGCTTGGAGCAAAAAAAGGAAAAGCGCTGGCAGACGCACTCTGCAAGAATACAACTCTGATTTCCTTGAGTCTTATAGTGAACTACCTTGGACCGAAAGGAGGAAAGGCATTAGCAGATGCACTTCGTGAGAATACCACACTAACTTCTTTAAATCTTACATATAATATGCTTGGATCAGAAGGTGGTAAAGCATTAGCAGAAGCACTTTGCGAAAACACCTGCCTAACTTCTTTGAACCTTCTTAACAATCAACTTGAATCTTCTGGGGGAAAAGCATTTGCAACTGCACTCTGCATCAACAACACTCTGACTTCATTAAACCTTTACAACAACGAACTTGGATTAGAGGGTGGAAAAGCAATAGCAGAAGCAATTTGCAATAATGTCGTCCTAACTTCTTTGAATATTGGCGAAAATAACATTGGGCCGGAAGGAGGAAATGCAATAGCAGAAGCACTTTGCAAAAACACCACACTAACTTCATTGAATCTTGCCAATAACAAACTTGGACCAGATGGTGGAAAAGCATTAGCATTTTCACTTTTCAAGAATGCCACTCTGGTTTCGTTAAATCTTAATAATAATAAACTTGGATCAGAGGTGGGAAAAGTATTAGCGGAAGTACTTTGCAAGAACACCATCCTGAATTCACTGGAACTTAAATATAATGAACTGGGACCAAGAGGAGGAGAAGCATTAGCGGAGGCGCTTTGCAATAATATCACTCTTATTTCTTTGGACCTTGAAGGGAATCAACTCGAATCGAGGGGAGGAAAAGCTTTAGTAGGTTCACTATTCAAGAATGCCACTCTGGTTTCATTAAGTCTTAGAAATAATAGACTTAAATCAGCGGAAGGTAGCTTATTGGAGGTTGTACTTCACAGGAACACCACCCTAACTTCCCTGAATGTTCGGGCTAATAATTTTGATTCAGCAACAAGAGAAGGAATCAGAAGTTTTTTTGATAGAAACATATTGGTTTGACTATCCAAATAGAATCATGCGATTGGCTAATTATGTATAATTGCACATAATCAAATCAAAGTTTAATATGTAAATAAATGATTTATCACAGCTTCACACTTTATTTACCATCGTCATTTTCATTTTTAAACGATAATTTAGTTATTTCTAGCTTGAATTTAAAGATGAAATTTTTTAGAGAAATAGTTCAATGTTTTATTATGGCAACTTATGTTAAAGTTGATTAATATTGAAATCAAAGGTTTTGTTTTATTAAATTACATTGATATAATCACTAGTTGGTAACCAAACTTTGATGTGAATAAGGTGATAGTCAGTGTTTAAGGTTTCAGACGCAAATACAGTTTTAATGAGAACAGTATAATAGATATAAATGTTCTCCAAATAGTGTTTTAAGTTCGCAAAGGTTGTTGTGTGAAACTTCTAGGTTAGACAGTTGTCTAAATAGCGAAAGGTAAAGCCCTATTAATATAAGTAAATATGGTAAAACTAAAATTATTCCTTAAACTGTTATGTTAAGCGTGCAAATTTGTACGCTAAAATTTTTGAAAAAAATTGAACTCTAAAAAAAAATTGTTTAATAACATTTCTAGTCTAATTTATTCTAAAAACTCACGATGGCTGAAAAGTATGCCATTTTACCTATACTTTTGAGCCATCTTAACATCAATTTCAAAAACCAATTATGTAAAATTGGAACCGGAAACCGGTACCTAAAATGTCCAATTAATGGCCTACAGCCCTTGAAGAATCTGGTTATATATGTCGCAGATAAATTTTTCAGGGGCATTACAGACGGAAAATGCCGAAACTGTTTTTGATATTTCTGTTATAAACCCGCAATTTAGGCATAGAAGTATGAGTCCGTCACTTCCTCTGAACAATTATAAAAGAGACCTGTGTGCGACGATTGTGAAGAATTTAGGACATCAAAGTCCTATTACGATCAACGTTAAATAATTAATTTTCGGAATATTGGTAAAGAAATTTTGTGAAATAGGAATTATGTGATAACCAACATATGATACGTATGCTTTTATTTTTGCTTAGAAAATTGTAGGGTACGGCTTAATAAATGGACCAAAATAAGGCAAAAAAAATTAACGTCAAATTTGGACGCTAAGGATACGTAGGAAATATAAATAAAATAAGAAAATAAATTGTTGAGCCTATATTAAAAAATACATATAGAGAAGAACACTGATATTATTTTACTGTTCACAAAAAATTCTTAATAGTCAATTCTCAATAGTGGTACTATATGAAAATCAATTATGGAAATTTTTTTTTGAATTTAGCTTTAGTGAGCAGAATAGTAGTTAAGACAGTAAACAGATTATTTATCACCTTTTATATTTAGCATAAATCTACTGACAAGATTAAAGATAAAGTACACATAGATCACTTGTTATATGATTTTAATCATAAGTTTTTTTTATTTTGGTATTTAAAATATTTTTATTAACTGCTTTTAGACTTTTAAGCAAAATTGTAAAACAGATTTTTATAATTCTAATGATAGTAGAATTATTAAATTTGTATTAAAATTTATTGAGATAGATTTATTTAAAGGTTAGTCATTAATATATTAACTATCTCAGTATTACCAACAAAATTTTACCATTATATGATCATTTATTTAAGTATCCAATCATATCACTTTACATGTAAAGTTAACAAAGTATCAGTATTTTGTTGGTGGGCTTAATATTATTGGTTGGCACATTTTTGACTACGATTGATATTTAAAGAATTGCAATTTTGAAAAAAATAAATAAACTATCACATTAAGATCAAAATGTTGTACTTAGTAGTTTTTTTTTTAAGATAACCTCTTTGGTCTTTTGACTTTTATTAACAACTTATTGGTAATGTAATTCTATAAACTACTACAAGTAGAGTTTAGGACATGGAAAAAAAATTAGGCATGCTTATATGGGCATGCTCCTAAGCTAAGGCATGCCCCTCATGCTTATGGGCATGCTCTTTTTAAATCATATGATTAACACATAGTTTACAACTTTTTAAAAATCTTACATGTTAATTTAGTATTTATGGTTCTAGTTTATTTGAACTTATTAGTCAATTAAAATAACTTTAAACATTACATAACAAGGGCATGCCTTTTGGACTTGAGGCATGCCCATAAGCATGCCCTAGAGGCATGCCTTTAGGAGCATGTTTCATGCTCCTGTGTCTTAAATTCTAACTACAGGAGAGAGTACAATTAGTTACATATGTAACTTTTTATATTACCTATTTAAAGAGTCTATCTAAAGGTTCCTTACCAATTGTCATATCTAACACCTCTGCTTGGATGTTTTACTTTAAACTTTTTAAACCTGTAACCTGTGTTAACACACTGGGTTATACCAGATGCTCAGATCATCATCTTAATATTAGAACTAATTTCTCCTTAAGTTAAACCTTCCAAAGTCTTTTGTACCTATTTTTACAGTTGATCTAAATATTACTATGACAGAACCAATATTTGTAGTCAGAGTTTAACTATTAAACTGCTATATCCTTGTAGAGTTTACTTAAATCCTAGCATTTATTTCACAGTATATCTGAATTACTTTAGTATACCTATACCTGTTCTTCAAACTTCCAATCCAGATAGTTTAATAGAACTATAATCAGTTTATTAGTATATTAAGTTAGTCTGATATTCTTTTTCTTTAGAGTTTGACAGCCTGGTTGGTAATATCTGGGTTTTCTAAGCCTAGATTCTTGTTTGTTTAGATATTTTAACATTGGTATCTGTTTTCTAAAGCTAACTTTTACAGTAATATCATCAAAGATCTAACTATCTTTCTACTTGGATCTTTTTAAATGAACTTCTTGTTACCCAATTTCAATGAATTTACATAGTCACAAGAACTTATCTAATGTTTGCATTGCCTAATTGTTAGTTTGCATTTCTTTGTGTAATGATAGATCTTGTCCGAAAGAACAATGTCATGTAATAGTTATACAAATGCTTCATGACCTGCCAGTCATACTGATGTGACTGCCATTACAGATATTCTAATCTAATTGTTAATAATAATTATTGTAATATGAATATTACATAAGTGATTATTCAAATTTTCATTGTCAATAGAATTTGAATACCCAACTTACCACTTGGAGGATTAACAATCTAATCACTTCACTAGGTCACTACATTCTTACTTAATAGTTTTGTTGTTTTAATAACAAATTATTATTATTATTATAATGATAACTTTAATTTATTAAATAGTTATATAAAAATATATAAAAAAAAAAAACAAAAACTCTTTCTACTGATCTTTATAACCAAAATTGGAACAGAAAGAAAACTATAGAAAACACAAAAACTAGCAAGTAAAAACACTGTTGTCAACTAAGCAAAGTTGAAGCTAAAGAGAAATTAAATAGAGTTTATTAAAATAGTAAACCAAGCTGACAACAATATAGTAGCTAGTCTTGACTTTTAGAGAAAATTTTGCTCTTTGACGATAATTTTTTGTTGAAAAAAGGAAATATACAGAAACTCTATACTGCAGATTATATACGTGACACGTAAATCAAGACAGAATAAACAGTAAACACAACAAAACAAATAAACAGACACACAATCTCGTAGATAAACAAACAAATATAGATACATATAGT